TCTGTGCAGGTATAGAATAATGTCAGATTTGAAAATAATTCATGATAATTGCTGAACAGGGAGTAGGTCTATGATGATTGGGAAGCCCGTTCCCCATTAGGGTCAAGTTTCTGACCCCTTTTCCCTGGGAGGTTTACCTTTTAGGGACAGATATCCCTCCCCATGGGATGTTTACCTTTTAGAGCAAGTCTCTGGTGCAAGACAGATGTAAAAACATCAGTTTAGGAGTATTTAGATCAATACTAATTTACTGAAGCTATGTAGCTTTCCGGGGAAGCTCACAGTATTGATTACATTAAAAAAGCTTTGAGATAATGAGGTTTGTGGCCTCATGTTTTAATTTTCTCCCCCCTCCCCCCCTTAAGTGTGCAACTTTGATTTTTACACCAGAACCAATGGAGGTCCCACAATTTTATAAACTTAGCCAGCATATAAGAACACAAGTCTATAAACCTTGATATTTTCAAGGATGTATGTTTTGTGGTCATTCCAGTTAGTATTACAGGTATCAGTAATAATAAAGAAAAACTAGTAGACCCATTATGTATTCTTGTCAAACAATCACTCAGCCATGTGCCCTATGTATACCGCAGTATTCTCCTTTAGAAATGTAAACAAGTGCTGCTCACTGATATAGCAGATGCAATGACAATTATTGTAACTTATGTTACTTTTACTTAAAGGTATATTGAAAATTCAGCCCTATTGTCGTGATATGTGTAAGATTTATTAATTTATTTTTTTAGTTCATTATTACTTTGAATTCTTGTCAAACAATGTGAACATTATTTGTAATCAGTGCCATATTAGAAATGTATTAAAGGCTGGGACAGTTCTTGCCTAAATGATAGCAAAACTGTTGGACAATTTTCGTCTGAGAAGCCAAACAATTGCCAAATATTTAAATGATCAGTGACTAGCAGCCCATATGATTTTCTCTGATACTGATGTTAAATATACAATATTTATTTCATGCACAGGTTATACTTATGGAATTCAGAATGCTTGGGAAGATGTGTTCCAAACGTTTTTATTATTTAGAAACAAGAATATATACAATACATGCATACACATGTAGATAGATACATAATTATATCTTAAAATGTATTAACAGTTGTAAAAAAACATGAATGGGAGTGGATATCTTCACAGCAAGAGTTATAATTGATTGGTTTTGATTATATCTTTATCAGAAGTACATGATATATAATCAAAACTGGTCAAATACATCTCTTGCATTGTGACAATATTCTTTCTCATCCATACCTTTTCACATTTATTATCTGCTTTATTTATCCAAATATGCAATTATTTTTAATATGTAGTTGTTTTTAACTGTTTTCTCGTTTTTATAGCTCCTGGGGCCAGTGCCAGCTCTTTGGTGATCAAGAGGCATAGTTCAGAGAAGGTAAGAAAGTAATGTATTGTATAATTCTCATTTGGTTTTGTAGATTCATACATATGAATGCTTGCATATTAACTAAATGCTGCCAGGAATGTGAAATGTTTCACTGTAATTTTGTTTTGTAAAATGTAATAATACAAAAGCCTCTACAAATTTTCCTCCACCAAGGAGTCAGTTAGTAGACCATGTGACCTCACCTGATTACCCCTTTGCATGAGTCGTTAATTTACTTATGTGAAGAATATTGTTGCTATTGTCATCATTATAGACAATATATTTATTATCAACATTTTGAATATTTATAGGAAACGAGAAAATGGTCGAGATAGGTATACTAGTTGTGGGGTTTAAACTTTTTCTTTTCTTGTCATGTCTTCTTAAATGCTTGAAAATTGTGTGATCCAGCCAGTTGCAGAGAGAGGAAGGGAAATATGTGCTGCTTGAGCCTCGTGATTTTTTGCTTTAGCGGCTTACCGTGCTCAAACACTGGCAGGTGGCTTTGTTTGTTGGGAGGATAATCCCACCAATCTTTTGTATTAGTGATTTCTGCAGCCTCTCCATAGTGTTGATTTCTCTTAACCATTTACAATTTTAGGAACTGTAATGTTGGAAGGGCAGCTTGGGTAAGGAGGGTAGAGAAATCCTAAGGTAATGCTTTTTGATTCCTTTGTGAAGGCTTATCTGTGGCTGTGCAACCCTGCACAGACTGGCATATTTTGTTAGAGGGGCTGAAATGTGCCAATGTTATTGGTAATTAATACTGTAGTGTCATTATATATGCCATCTTAAAAATTTGTTCAATATAATTTTCAGCAATATTTAGTTGTTGTCTAGTGGACAAATTTTGCCATGTATGTATTTTGCCATCAATGTTTGTTACATTGGCAAACTGCCCACATTTCTATGGTGGTTTGGAGACTGTCATGTTTCATTGACAACACTGATGTGGTCCTTCAAAAGATTCCAGATCAACAAGGAAAAAAAGTAGTTTTTCCCTTGTAAGGTTTTGCAAAGAAACTTTCTCACATAATTATATATGGTTTCAGATTCAATATAGCATTGTAGTCTACAACAGTGACTTTATGATAAATGTTCTAGGGTATATAAAAAAATAAAATTGCAGTGGTTGAATGACATGCATACCACTGGCATTCTTTGGAGATTAAGTCAAATGAGTTCTGTAATAAGAAGAGGGCTAAGGTTGCGAAGTCAGAAAGTATGTTAATGGACAGGACCTAACATGGTAGGTAAGGACATAAAGGATAATATTAATAGCTGATGAAAATAATCTGATGAAGGTAACCCCACAGTCACTTGTTGAAGATATATTAACAGTGACTTGAAGTGTTCCCTTGACCTCATGCCTTCAGCATTCTGGCAAAGGGACAACAAAGCCTTTACATAAATAATATTTTAAGGTAAAGTTTGCTGACAGTCCAGTGTTTTGCTGTCAAATAATAAACCAGCTCATGCTCAGTCTTGCTAAATGTATGTAGTGTTTTTACTTAATGCTTTTGCTGAAGAGCTGATGTAGAAATGGGTAACTAATCCCTGAATAAATTACTTTTAGTGGCTGGACCTTTTTAATTTTTTATTCAGTTCACAAAATCAAATTGTGGTTTTATTGGTTACGAGCTTATATGCATTCTGCTGCATACATCTTGCAGAGCTTATTTTACATGACTCTTATTACTTTACTGTATGTTAACAATAAAAGATCGATCTATTAAGATTGTCTTCATATGCTAACCATTATTTTCCAGACCTACGGCCCCTTGGCTGATGCTGACCGCATCTTTACCAACCTCTATGGCCGACATGATTGGAGGTTAAAGGGAGCTCTTGCACGTGGGGATTGGTACAAGACCAAGGAGATCATTGTGAAAGGGCATGATTGGATCCTGAATGAGATCAAGGCCTCAGGTCTCAGAGGGCGTGGAGGTGCTGGCTTCCCTTCAGGCATGAAGTGGAGCTTCATGAACAAGCCGTAAGTTTGAAGGCAACCTCTATCTAGTTCTTTTGATTGCTTTTCCCTTGGGATAAGATAGGGATTTGGTAGAAATCAAGCACCTTTTTTCTTTGATCATTACCCACCATCTCTCTGTCGTCTGTTTTGCATTAATATTTTCTTGCTCCCCATAACTATAATTGTAGTTAGATGATGCTCTTCTTTTCTTCAGCTCTGATGGCAGACCCAAGTACCTGGTGGTCAATGCTGATGAGGGAGAGCCTGGCACATGCAAAGACAGGGAGATTATGCGACATGACCCTCACAAGCTTGTTGAGGGTTGCTTGGTTGCTGGACGTGCTATGGGAGCTAGAGCTGCTT